AAAATGAATATTATTTCCACAATTTACCACACTAAGAAAGACCACTTACATTTCTGTTGTGACGCCTTGAAGATGGAGTGACGTCACACCTCGCACAAGGAGTGACATCACATTACGCACATCAGCACCGTTGATGGCGCACTATCGCTTGCATTCCAGACACAAAGCCTATTGCTTCCGCAATACGTTATTTGTGTCTGGAACCCATTTACACAATGAAATACACCTGTATTTGGCTGAAAAAAGGACCACAACTGGGCTACCGCACTTTGGATACCCCAGTTGTGGCCGGTTTATTCAAAAACCCTAACTATTTGGGTAAAGTGAACAAAATGCTTGAATAAGCGAAAAAGTTATTGAAAAATCTTGAATACAATGTAACATATCAAGTTAATTGAATAAACAAAGTTTTTCTAAAATCCCTAACTCTTGACTAAAAGTAGCAAGTCAAGTTTGTTGAACAAATGACAAAGTTAACGTCACTGAGTGTGGGGCCAAATCATGCCACCAGACACACCTTGTGTCAAATCAAGCATTTCTGGAATCAAATCTTAATAGTATATGGACGGATTTTGCTCAAACTTGATACAAACATCATGGGACCTGGATGAAAGTTTTTCTGTTTTTCAGATATGAATCAAAATGGCTGCCTGGTGGCCATTTTGTTTTAACAATTTTTGGTTCTAGAGCTATATCTCAGACATTTCCTGACCAAACATTTCCAGAATTTAGATGTACATCTTTTCAATACACACATATGCACATGTAATCATTGGACAGTTCAAGATGGTTATTTCAATGTGAAAATTCATCAAAATTAAGCATTATTGCAATTCCGGATCTGGATCTTGGTCATGTATAGACATTCAAACTTGTTTTGTACCTTGAACTTTATGGGACCTTAATGCATGTTACTTTGTTTGTCAGATCAGACTCAAAATGGCTGGCCATTTTCTTTAGTGAAATGCAAACTTTATACATTTCTTAAACTTGGGAATTCATGGGGACTATCTAATGCAGCAATTACTTGTTTTAGTTCAGTCTGTTTTAATACAGACAACATCTCATATATTATTATTCTTTCTGAATTCTGGAAGGAATTCTAGAAATAATCTCACAGAACTCTTTCTTGTCCATGATAAGATTACATTTTTATTCATGCTGACAGGGACTTAGTCTGATCTGTACTGTACAGTACTATTTGAATTAACATGATGGTAGTTTAGAGAGAACGGTTTGGGATGGTATTGATAATTTAAGATTTTAACCGTAAATGTCTTCTCCCAAAACTCATTAACACGACCAATTAACCATTTGCTCCACTCTGATACTTTCTTGCAACAATGTTGCTGAAACCATTACTAATTTGCATATTTGTAATCCCTTTAACCAAAATGTTGTCATTGTGCAGCACATGCAAGGTAGTTTAACCTTTTGACCACCAGTTCCCTTTTTTCATCGCAAATTCACAGAATTGTGTTTATGGTCTGCACTTTGCTTCAGAAGATTGGGACAAAAATAGCTAAATTTAAAACTTAACTCAAATTTTTCTGTTGACTCCAAAATTAGGGTTCATTTCAAGAAATATTGAGGAATATATAAAAAAAAAGTGCAGCAAACATTTGGGCAAGAAAGTCTAGGGGTGATGAAAAGGTTAAAGCGCTACAATGTTGTGTTTGATATGGGACCCATAGCAATGTATACAACACATGTAAATATTTGTTATTTACATAGAATTCAAAAATGCGCTGCACAACGACTGCACAGCACTTTAAACATTGCAAAAATTATTATTTTTGTTTTTATGTATATTTTTATTTAAAATATCACTTTCTTGTGTATTATTTTTCATTATTCATGCTGTAAAATACAGGATTTGTACAAACAACAAAATCAACCACATTCCTCCATATATGTTAACTTAGCATTGCTCAGTTTTCTTATTTTGCAACCAAAATGTAAACTAATAATACAGGAATCCTGCCTGATTACAGAGACTTCTGATTATAAAAATGTTTTATAACTTTCTCACTAGCTATGTATGTAAGGCAATATTGATGTGGAAGGATGTAAACATATGATTATATCTTAAAATAACTTGACAAATACAGTACAAATTATGGAATTAAAATCTCTATAGCTTTCTTTTAAATGGCTGGCTGGAGGCCTTATAACGAAATATTGCTCATGTAGCACAGGTTGATACAAATGTGTACATTCTGAGTACCGTATTTGTGGCGTCTTCGAAGACACCATATTATTCATCTTCCTGATCCAAATAAATGGTGTAAGATGCTGTAACATCTTGAATATGCCTTTTATATTTTTAATTTACATTGTCGAATGTAGAGACCCTACACAACCCAGATTTATACTATTTAAAGGCAACCCTTTTTTTACTGTGTATATTTGCCTGGTCGAAATGAAACATATGTGGCTAGGGCATGATTGAAACAATTCAACAATATTTACACAGGATTTCGATTTTTGTATATATATAATATATTTCCACACTGAAATGACTACAATCTGCTAGATATTTATA